CGGGCTGGCCTGTGGTCCATTTAAATCACTTACATAGGCGGATATGGTCAGAATGTTTGACCCGAATTATGCGGGCGGGCTTGGCCCACACATATATGGGCAGAAAATTGACCCTAGACCCAACCTAGATCTGTGTTTGTGCAGGTTTAGTTATCTCAAAGTTTGAGTGTTTTTTTATTCAAAAACAATGTCAAGAATCACAAAATAAATCCGTATGGGATTATTTTTAGGGATAAAACTATTTGTACCCTAAGAATTTGTACCACATTTTGTACACCGCAGAGATGAACCAACATTTTGTGTTGGTGTAATGCTAATTTTTGTTAACGCACCAACACTTTGTATAAGTGTGAACCATCAAAATGTTGGTGCATACCTTTGGTGTAAAAATTTTGGAGTACATGTAACAAGCTCTTGCTCCTATTTTTTGACATCAACTAGTGCATCACCTGTGCGATGCACGGGAAGAAAAAAGTTATCCTAGTTGTGAAAAACATGTAAAATATTTTAAACTACTGGATATTAGATTACAAATACTACGTAATAGATATGTATGCACTTTCATTTATAAACATTATTATTCATTTAATTTTAAATAGGCATACAAAACATGAAAGAGTGAGTTGTGGAACGTAGTACATTCAATAGATAATATGAGAATGGAAGACAATAAACTCTGCACATTAAGAGCAATTGAACATTCTCAATGGCCAGTTCAGTTATGAGTAAGCTGTTTACCAAACATTGCAACATTATCAAAATTTTCCAGTTCATTCCTCTCCAAATACCTTGAAATTGAATAAATGTTAAGGGAAACGGTCATCCAAAATCTCAGAAATGATAGTGCTTTTATTAAGTGATAGTTTAAATATGTTCAAAGCAAGGTTTGTTATTTAATAGAACTATTGAATTTTTAATTTGACGTAACTTCTTTTTCTTTTGTGTTGGCCCAAACAGTGGTATCTTGTCCTTTTGAAAGATTTCAAGGTTGCGGTTGCCCTGAGAAAAAATTATATTTAGTTGTATATTTAATAAACTGAAAAATAATTTTTTTAAATAAAATGCCTCATTATCGTGAAAAGTACACTCTCCAGCATAAATTTGCGTTCCTATAGGATATTAGATTGTATGCACGAATTAGAATAATCTTAATTCAAGATAGGCATGAAATGTTGAAGACTTTAGTTCCATCAACTTCGTCCAAAGGATTTGGAATTGAATTAGAATCCAATTCCATCCAATTCAATTTCATACAATTTCACTTTAAATTCCTTGTACCATACGGAGCTTAAGATAACAGTTTATACCTTTGGTGTTGGAAAACACATTCTAGGCCATATACCTCCCCATTGTTCGTTGATTGCATGTCATATGATCAGAAGAGGCTTTAAGAGAAGCAAGGCGGTTGGAAGGATGTATATCTTTCAAAAGTGACCAAAGTCACAGCCATTTTAGAATATACATACTCCGTATATAGTAAAATATAAGGAGTCTTTGATGTGAAGAATAGAAAAATAATAAGGCATCTTATAGCTGTTGGGATAATTTTCTTTTTGCAGTTTATTGTAAATATTTTTGTAATATCCACGAATTGAATTGTGCAGGTTCTTGGAATCTGAATTTAGGGGACAAAGAATTGAAGGGTTACTTGGAATGTTGTTGCTTGGCATTGTTTGTGTATATGAGATTATCCAGTGTATCCCATGGGCAGAGTAAAAGCAGTTCGTACATGGGTGGCCTTGTTTCAAGTTCATTCTATTGTCTTGTTACACATTTAACAGTCAGTTTTTTACCAGACAGCATATTAAATAGGTGAAATTGGATTGAAATTAACCTTGTCAAATTGAAATGGATTTCTCATCAGCTTTTATATAATGCCGAGAGGAGGAGAAAGAAGAGGGCGCGAAAGAGAAAGAGAAGGAAGATAGATTGGGTGAGGGTATTTAAGTAAAAAT